CGACAACGAAGAGCGCAGATATGATGGTAGTCAGAAGAAAAGGCGAGAAGGTTGTTAATGCGAGGAATCGGGACCAAGAGGATAAGAGGGTTTCTCACGATCTGATCCAGCCCAAATATTTCGGGTTCGTGAAATGGAAAGGTGTGTGTGTGGTAACACGTCCGACGACTCGGTCAAGCTTCTTTTCCTTCTTTGCCACGTGCTTTAGGGGAACATTGATCCTGGGATGTGTTGCCTTGCGGGTTCGAAACAAAGCTTTGGGCGGGTTTTCTCGAAAAGGAACACGTAAGCCGCGAATTCGATGCTTCCTTGTCTATTTGTCCTTCCTTGTCTTTTTGCTCTTTCTTCAGTACGTGAGTGTGCGTCTCCGTGACTTGAGACGTCGTCCCGAGTGTGAAATGGACTACTTTGAGTTGATAGGGTAGCTGAGTATCCTGGATAGAGCATAATCTGGGATAGGTATTGGTACAGAATAGTTGGAAACCTAGCAGCAGTGTTGAGGCGGCGTTGGGATGTTGGAAAGTCGACCGGAGAGATTGGTTATTCGGGCAGTTTATATGAAAATTGTCCGTAGTCCGGGGGCGGGTTCGTCAGCAACAAAGCTGTTCGGCATGCGGGTTGGTTGTCCGGACCATTCGTCCGGGGCGCGGCCGAACAGAGGCCCCATATTTTCCGGGTGTGTAGTGATACGCGAGCCACGACGTGGCGCGTCATACGATGTACCCAAGATTCTTTTCGGCATGGGGGAGAGGGAGGGAGGATTTGTGAGGTGTTTCTGGGGGTTATTTCCAAGCGTGACAAAGCTGACTATAATTCAGGAGATGACGAGGTCACTCGGTTGTAGTCATCTGCCGCGCGCGGGAGGTTTTTTTGCAAGAAGGGGATCAGCAGAAATGAGGATTTGGGATTGGTGATGATTACATGAGGAGGAACTATGCTTGCGAGAGAATGTTGATGTTTTTTCTCTCTTTCGGCTCGCGAGCTTGGTCGCGGCAGGGGGTTCCAGAGCAGCTTCCATGGATGGTGTCGAGGAGACTGGTGATTGCATCATGTGTGAAGGGAATGACAATGCTTGGAAGCGTGCCCTAGCAGCATCGAGGCGAGGGAACAGATAGACACGAGGAGTATCCAAGTGACGTTCAACACTTTGCCGGACTCTTGCTGCGGGAAGAATGATAAATGGCAATACATCCTCCAACCTATTCTTGAATATATTGCTCTCAGAATCAACAGATAGAACCATCAACCATCAGCACACCTCAAAACCAACGACTCCAAAGAAATAATACAGACACTACATCTCGAGTAGCATAAGTCATCATGATTGCCCCTCAGCCCATCGTTCTTTACGGCCACAGTATGTTTTGGAACTCGACATTTTCATCTCACCCCATGAGTCGAGGAGAGATACCAATGCTTCTTTATCGCAGGTTACACCCCCAACCCGTCAAAGGTGGTCATGATCCTCGAGGAGCTCAAGATCCCATACGAACATGTAATGTCTCCTCTCTCTCTCTCTCTCTCTCTCTCAGAGAGTCAGCATTTCACCGTTCTAGTCCGCCGAACCCTCCCTGAAATCAAACAAGTCGGCCATGATGATCGGAAGAAGCATCCTTTACAAAACCACTACTCACTATCCACACTCACTTTCTGACCTGAAGTACTTTTACCCCAGATCATCATCGACCTCGCCGTCGTCAAGGAAGAACCCTACCTCTCCATCAACCCAAACGGCCGCCTCCCGGCTATCAAGGACCCCAACACGGGCATCACGCTCTGGGAGTCAGGCGCCATTGTCGAGTACCTCGTCGAAACGTACGACGACGCCGGCGCGCTGTCTCTCGCGTCGCGAGAGGACAAGTTCCTCTTGAAGCAGTGGTTGCATTTCCAGGTGTCGGGACAGGTGTGTTCTGATTCCCTTAACTCCCTTATATCAACTTGAATGCGTCGTTCGTTTTACTATTACGATAACCACCTCCCTTTCTTGTGATTTACCGTTCGTTTTTGTCTTCAAGCAGAGAATGATGGTCAAGTCCCAAAATGGCGACGAATAGCTCACCGTGTCCTTACCCGTCTAGGGCCCGTACTTTGGCCAGCTCGGCTGGTTCAGGCTTTTCCACCCCGAAGACGTCCCCAGCGCAAAGGCGCGGTACGAAGAGCAGACCGTCCGTGTCTTCTCCGTCCTCGATCGCGCTCTCAAGGGGAAGAAGTATCTCGTCGGAGACAAAGCGTACGTTGTTGTTGATACTTGATAGATAAGATTCCGACCGGACCCTGCTCCCCTTTCCCAGTCCCCGTTGAATCCGGCTCCATCACCCCCTTTTCCTATCTGCAGATCTGCTCTTTGCTATGAATAGCAACTTCGACCCAGAAATCCACTTTCCCCAGCAAAGAGTCCACTATTTCTACCCATCTAGAGCTCCTTTCTTGATTCTGCGCATTGGAACTAACGATGACGGGGCCGTGTGCTTTGTAGGACCTACGCCGACATCTCCTTCATGCCGTGGGACTACCTCGCCAGAAAACTCATCGGCGAAGGGTGGACCGATAAGTGGGAGGTCGACACCAAGTATCCCGACTACGCCGCCTGGGCCGAGAGAATCCGCGCCCGGCCCGTGGTGAAGAATGTGCTGGAGAATATGGGGAAACAGAGGGCTGCTGAGGAGGAGCAGGCTAAAGCTCAGGAGTGAGTGACGGAGTCAGGCTAGGCCAGAGTCCATGGGAGTTGGCTACATGTTCGTGTGTTGTTCTCACACGGAAAGTCAATAATTGTATTGTCCAGTAGAGAACCCCCATATGATATTGTCTTTTTTATGTGAATATGTGCAAATAAAAAACGGCGACCTTGGGGAAACAGTTCACCATTCTCCTCCGGCCTTTCCGTCCCTTCTCACGAGAAGTGGAAACACTAGAGCCCATGATAATAGGAGGGTCGAGAAGCAAAAATCTAGTCCTCCCAGATGGCAACTTTGGCCTTCTCGGCGTCCTCCAGCCGGCGCTTCTCAGCAGCCTTCTCTTCCTCCCTGCGTTTCCGCTCCTTCTCCTTGACAGCCTTGTCGTAGGCCCTCTGCTCCTCCGTCATCCGGGGCACCTTTACGCCCAGGGCGCTAGCAATCATGCGACGGGCCACGGCATCTGTCTTTTCTGGCCTGGGGCGTGATGAGGCGGCGTCCTGGCCACTACTACCGCCACCCGAGGACGCGCCGGCACCAGCAACGGAATCAACGCTGCCGTAGGGGTTGGGGAAGGACCTGTCTGCGGCGTTGTAGGTTGGTGAGATGGGGGTCGGCGGCGGAGCCTTGGCGCCGTCGCTTTGGGGCTTCACGGCCTCCTCCTCTTCTTCATCGTCGTCCTCGTCTACGTCCTCATCTTCCCAAGAGTCTGCCACTGGTGCTTTGGTCTTTTTGGTGGATGGTGTCTTTTTGCTGCTGTTTATTGAGAGCTTGGAGAGCGATGACGTGACGTCTGACTTTTGACTTGAGGAAGGCATGATGGCGATGTGTATAGATGGGGAGATATTGAAGAAGTAGGAGAAGATATATATATATATATATGTGTGTGTGTGTGAGAGAGAGTGAAGGCAGAGCGTTGCTTGAGATGGAAAGGAGGTTGAGATGGCCAGGAACCCGGGTGCGGTTCCGTCGGGAAGCGAGGTAAAGAGTGGGTAAAGTTCCGGGTAGCAGGGAAGGTCGATCGGTGGACGACGGGGTGGAGGTGTTTGGACGACGCCGATGAAGGATCAACAAGGTGAGGGTGCAGCTTGCAGCTGGAGTGATGCTGTAGGAGACCCGAGAGAGATCCTCCGAGATAAGTGTGAGAAGGCCAAGGGTTGATGAATATATGGCCAAGTTTCTGTGCGATGTGAAGCTCCGGAAGAAAACAGGATGGAAGAAAGGAGGAAGATAGTGTCCGTAGCAGGAAAATAAGTTCTTGTAAACAGGTTGATGTAACTGGAAGTGGCCTCGGCTCCTTTCAGGTGTGCGAACGGACTGCTGTTAGACGGGCACGACGGGATGGCGGGACGTGGATGGGCTGGTTGTGCTTGGAACCCTTTCCCATTGTGGGGTTGGGTTGACCCCTTCCCCGCAGCGAGTCAGAGGAACGGGAGTCTGGAAGGCACTCACGGCACTGTGGCAGGCAATCTGGGAGATGTACTCTTCATCGTTGCACATGACAACATAAAGCCAGCTCGAGTTAATATTACGGTAAGCAGGTGACTAGACACAATGCGTATGCTTTCATGTAAGCCAGTAAGTGTCGGAATGTGCGAGTTGTAATTATAAGAAAGTGATGTGCTTCGTACGGAGTGACGGATAGCTGCGGCAGCAACCACTGCCGTGTCTCCCCAAGGTACACGCAGGTAGGTACTCCATCCGCCAGCCACTTCAACCTGTGGGGACGTCGCTCTGGAGCACCATCCTTAGGTAAGCCGCCCCGCCGGCAAACGGGGCCGATGTTCTTCCTGGTTCCAGAGCCAACTCCCGCCTCCGCTGCGCGCTGAGTGGCCAGGCACGGGCGGCAACGTCAGTGCTCATTGATTTTTTTGGTGATGTCGTTTACTTTCTAGTCTTCCCCCCCCGACTGTCTCCATAATAGCTAGAAAGCCTACTCAACTCACCTACACTTTGTATTTGTAAGGCGTCAGGAGGCGATGCGCATCGCGATTTAGGACTCGGAGTCCTTTTCACCACCCTTCTGCACAAATACACACATCTACAACCCTTCCAATTGCATTCACCATTTGCCAATCATTCAACCGATACAGCGGCACATCCTAATTCGCCCTCGGCCCTGTATTACCCGATCACCACGTGCCGCGACCGGAGCTTCTTCCAAGTCGACTGGCAAACCCTCCCCCAAGTGCCGCCAACATGGTGATGCGATCGAGCTTCCCCAGGCGCCTGGCCCTCGGACGCTCGGCAAACTACCTCAGAAACCCCTACGCAGCCTCGAGTAGCAGGTTACCCGCAGCGAGTACTCCGAGGTGCTCCGCATCCACCTTCGACCGCCTTCTCCTCACCACCCGCCCGTCCCAGCGAGCCATCGCCCCGTTTTCAACGTCAACACGATGGCTAAAGGAGGAAGATAACAGCTTCTTTGACCGTGCCGTCGAGCCCCTGTCCGAGGAGGAACAAAAGGCGAACCTGAAGCACCAGCGCGAGCTCGAGGAGAAGGAGCTTGCCGAGGCCAAGAGCTCTAACTCCGAGTCATCCGCCAAAGGCGAGGGCTCTGGAGCCGCACAAGATGGCAAGGCCGGTAGCGCGGCCGGTGGCTCATCAGCGGGATCCGGCGGTAGCGGAGGCGACGACAAGGGCGACGGCAGCGGCAGACGCGGACGCAGAGCCTCTGACAAGAGCCTGCAGAAGCCCGTTGTGCCCGACGTATACCCCCAAGTCCTGGCTATTCCGATTGCGAAGCGGCCACTGTTCCCCGGCTTCTACAAGGCCATTACCATCAAGGATCCGAACGTCGCCGCCGCCATCACCGAGATGATTAAGAGAGGCCAGCCGTACGTCGGTGCCTTCTTGTTCAAGGACGAAAACCAAGACGAGGACGTTATCCGCAATGTCGATGACGTCTACGATACCGGTGTCTTTGCGCAGATCACGAGTGCTTTCCCCATGCATGGGGAGCAGGGCGCTCTGACTGCTATCCTCTACCCTCACCGCCGTATCCGCCTTTCGAGCTTGCTGCCGCCGGGAACGGAGGACAAGAAGCCGAGCGAAGCCAAGGTGGAGCCGGTGCCCGAGCCGATACCCTCGAAGCCCACCGATGAAGAGGCTCAACAAGAGAAGAAGGGCGATGTCGTTGCCAGCTTCGAGGAGAGTGCTGTGGCCCCCAAGGCCGACCAGGCGGCGGAGAAGTACGAGCCCACGGCGTTCCTCAAGAGATACCCCGTCAGTCTCGTCAACGTGGAGAACTTGACCGAGGAGCCCTACGACCCCAAGAGCGCTGTCATCCGTGCCGTGACCAACGAGATCGTCAATGTGTTCAAGGAAGTCGCCACGATGAACAGCCTTTTCCGTGATCAGATCTCGACATTCTCCATGAGCCAGTCCACAGGCAACGTAACGTCCGAGCCGGCCAAGCTGGCAGATTTCGCCGCCGCCGTGTCTTCTGGCGAGCAGGGCGAGCTGCAAGAGGTCTTGTCGAGTCTCAACGTGGAGGAGAGAATGCAAAAGGCGCTGATCGTCTTGAAGAAGGAGCTCATGAACGCGCAGCTCCAGTCAAAGATCACCAAGGACGTTGAGAGTAAGATCACTAAGCGTCAGCGGGAGTACTGGTTGATGGAGCAGATGAAGGGCATCCGTCGCGAACTGGGACTCGAGTCTGACGGCAAGGACAAGCTGGTTGAGAAGTTCAAGGAGAAGGCCAACAATCTGGCCATGCCCGAGGCTGTGCGCAAGGTGTTCGATGACGAGATCAATAAGCTTGCCCACCTCGAGCCCGCAGCGTCCGAGTTCAATGTCACGCGAAACTACCTGGACTGGCTTACGCAGATCCCCTGGGGCCAGCGCAGCGCGGAGAACTTTGGCATTCAAAACGCCATGACGGTCTTAGATGAGGATCATTACGGGCTCAAGGATGTCAAGGATCGTATCTTGGAGTTCATTGCTGTAGGCAAGCTCCGTGGAACGGTCGAGGGCAAGATCATCTGCTTCGTCGGTCCTCCCGGTGTCGGAAAGACGTCCATCGGCAAGTCCATTGCCCGCGCCCTGAACCGCCAGTACTACCGATTCAGCGTCGGTGGTCTGACGGACGTGGCAGAAATCAAGGGTCACCGCAGAACCTACGTCGGTGCCCTGCCCGGTCGCATCATCCAGGCGCTCAAGAAGTGTCAGACCGAGAACCCCCTGATTCTCATTGACGAGATCGACAAGATTGGCCGTGGCTACCAAGGCGACCCCTCATCGGCTCTGCTTGAGCTTCTCGACCCGGAGCAGAACAGCTCCTTCCTGGACCACTATATGGACGTCCCCGTCGACCTGTCTAAGGTGCTCTTTGTCTGCACCGCCAACATGACGGACACCATCCCGCGACCCCTCCTCGATCGCATGGAGCTCATCCAGCTGTCGGGCTACGTCGCCGACGAGAAGAAGGCCATCGCTGATAAGTACCTCGCACCGGCCGCCCGTGAAGCCGCAGGCCTGGCCAACGCCGACGTCACGCTCAGCGAGGAGGCTATTGAGGAGCTCATCAAGTCGTACGCCCGCGAGTCCGGCGTCCGCAACCTCAAGAAGCAGATTGAAAAGGTCTACCGGAAATCCGCCCTCAAGATCGTTCAGGACCTCGGCGAGGAGGTGCTCCCCGAGAAGGAGGCCCTGACCGAGGACGGCAAGGAGGCACTCGAGGCGTCGGAGAAGAAGGCCGAGGAGGCGCGCGAGACGGGCGAGCAGCCGGCCGAGACGCCGACCGCCGAGAAGCCCCGCGTCGCCCTCAACGTCCCCGACACGGTGCACGTTACCATTGGCAAGGAGAACCTCGTCGACTACGTCGGCCCTCCCGTCTTCACCTCGGACCGCCTCTACGAGGTCAACCCCGCCGGCGTGGCCATGGGTCTCGCGTGGACCCAAATGGGCGGCGCCGCCATGTACATCGAGTCCATCCTCCAGGCGCCCCTGCGGCCGAGCAGCCGCCCCGGGCTCGAGATCACGGGTAACCTCAAGAACGTCATGAAGGAGTCGACGACGATTGCCTACTCGTTTGCAAAGTCCCTCATGGTCAGGGACTTCCCTGACAACCACTTCTTCGACAAGGCCAGGCTGCACCTGCACGTCCCCGACGGTGCCGTCTCCAAGGATGGCCCCTCGGCCGGTATCACCATGGCCACCTCGCTCCTCTCCCTCGCCCTCGATACCCCCGTCAACCCCACCGTCGCCATGACGGGTGAGCTCACGCTTACCGGCAAGGTCCTCCGCATCGGCGGGCTGCGCGAGAAGACGGTCGCCGCGCGCCGCGCCGGCTGCAAGATGATCATCTTCCCCAAGGACTGCATGTCCGACTGGCTCGAGCTCCCAGAGGTACGTCCCATCACTCACAACAACTACTACCACGTACAATTGGACTGTACAAGATCAATGCTGACACATTACTACAGAACATCAAGGAGGGCATCGAGGGCAAGCCCGTGGCATGGTACTCTGACGTCTTTGACCTCATCTTCCCGGAGCTCGACCGCGAGGCCGCCAACAAGTGCAAGACGTGCGAGTGGAAAAAGGACCAGGACGACAAGAAGAAGAAGGACAAGAAGAAGAAGAAGAGGGACGACTCTGACGACGAGGATGACGACTAGATGCATCACCGCCACCACCAACCACTGCCCCCTCCTCCCTGAGGGGGTGAAGAGCAAAGAAAGAAAAATCTACAAACAGATTTCACGACATTGTTCACCAGCGATAGATGGTTTCCAAATCCATTGACACATCCAGTCCCCCCCCCTCCCGACTGGGATGATCCGTCGTAACCCGCGCCTCAATCCCCAAATCCTCA